CATCTGCAAAACAGTGCGTTTTCCTTCTTGTTCCAATGAGTCAGTTCTTCTCATCAGGTAACTAAAGTATTGGAGCTTCAGCTTCAGCATCAGTCCTTCCAATGAATATTCAGGACTGATTTACTTTAGGATTGACTGGTTTGATCTTCTTGCAGTCCAAGGGACTCTCAAGAATCTTCTCCAACACCACAGTTCTAAAGCATCAATTCTTTGGCACTCAGCTTTCTTTATAGTCCAACTCTCACATCCATACTTGACTATGGCAAAGCCAGTCCTTTGACTAGATGGACCTTTGTGAGCATAGCAATGTCTCTGCTTTTTACTATGCTGTCTAGGTTGGTCATAGCTTTTCTTCCAAGGAGCAAATGTCTTTTAATTTCATGGCTGCAGTCACTATCTGCAGTGATTTTGGAGCCTAGTCTGTTACTGTTTCCATTGTTTCCCCATCTATTTACCATGAAGTGGTGGGACCAGATGCCATCATATGATTTTTATCTTTTAATTTGTTAATATTATGTATCACATTGATTGATTTGCTCGTATTGAAGAATCCTTGCCTCCTTTGTATATACCTGACTTGATCATCATGTGTGATCCTTATCCATTTTAAATATAGCAGTATATACATGAATATCCCAAACTCTTTGACTGTCCCTTACCCTCATCCTCCCCACTGGCAATAATATGTTCATTCTCTAAGTCCATCAGAGTCTTTCCATTTTGTGAATATGTCCATTTGTATAATTTTTTTTGATTCCACATATCAGATATCATAAGACTTTTCTGCTTCTCTGTCTGATGTACTTCAGTCACTATGGCAGTCTGTAGATCCATCCATTTTCTACAGCCTTTCTACCTTTGAGTGTCTCTGTACTTTTTCCCCCATCTCCTCTACAGAGCTCCCACTTGATGAAAAGCCAAGCCTCTTCTAGGCCATTATCTCTGGGCCAGTTGCACAACCAGCTTTGCACTGCTGCTGCCTCTGTGAAATTATCTCAATCATCTTTCTCTCCTCCCTGAATACCTCTTGTCTGCTTCTTGACCAGAGCAGTTATGCTTATGCAGCCAGGCCTTTCTGTGTGGTGCCCTCCTTAACTGGAAGTCTCTTCCTCTAGTGGTTGCATGATTTGCTTCCTCGTCATCATGTGTCTTCAAGTATTGCAGCGCAGAGATTCCCTCATATCTCAAGGCCTCATATCAAAGGTCACTGTCTCCATCCTCCCCCCCCATGGCCCTCTGTCTTTCCCCCTCCTTATTCCTATTTGCCCAGAGCACTTCTTCCTTTGGAATCACTGTCTTTCACTCCCTCTTAGGTGATGAAGAGCTGCAGGAGAGAGAGGGCTGTCCTGTGTGCTGCTGCATCCCAGGACTAGGAGAGGGCCCAGCATTCAGTAGCTGTTACACAGTGTTTGTTAGAATAATGGCAGGAGTATTCCATTTCTCTGGAGTTGATAAATGATAGTATTTTTAGTTCTATTTGCTGTAGATATGCTTGTGAATATTACATAGCACTAAATAAATGAGATGAAGGTTTAAAGTATTTGATAAGCAAGAATCAAGTAGCTTTTGGCTGGAGGCACTTGGCTGTTCTTTCTCTGAGTCACCTTCAGGTTTACTGAAGAACTGATCTGAAGTTTGAACACAAGGTGTGACCACAGTCAGAACCCTATGCCAAATAGGATTCATATCTGGTAACTGCTCTTGACAAAGAGGCATCGAGTACAGAGCTGACCTCCGTGGAGCCCCCCCTTATCATGGCTACTGCTTCCTGGGGGCCACCACTCTGAAGGTCACTCCACAAGGGAGTCAGTTGGCTGCAGGTTTGTCTTGGATGTCCCTGGGCAGGAAGGTGAACACCACATGGCCCAGGATGCACATGCTGACTCTTTATTTTGGGGGTAGGACTTTTTTGGTGGGACAAACCCCACAGCTGCTCACTGATGTTTCTGGATATATTGTGCAGTTCAAGTACCTCTTGAGACCTGGTTCACTGATGGAGAAGGAAGGACATCCAGGAGGAGAAAGGATGGAACCTGCACAGGAGCTTGTTCCCTTAAAGGCCTGAGGAAAGCTATTGGTGTGGTTTGAAATTACAAAATTACCAGTGCTTGAGAAAACCTATGTGATCTCAAGTCCTGCAAATTCCTTGTTGAGCATGATTTGGAGCCCAGGCCTACTGTCCATCAGTCCTCAGGGCCCAGCCTAGAGACTGTAGATGTTAAGATATTTGGGGTCTTCAGTAAAACCCAGGTCCCTATCCTTATGTCCAGGACTTAAACTTGGGGGAAAAAGGAAGGATTCTCAATGATCTTTTTCCTACCTGACAATGGTATAAACCTGTCCTTGGCTCTCTTGTGATTCCATCTGGTCATTTTGGGAGAGTGCTGCCCTTGGAGCCAGAATAGGTTGGGGGAAGGATAGTCAGGAAAACAGGTGATGGTTGGGGCTGGGACAATAGAGCACTTGGCTCCAAATGGAATCACTTAGAAATGTCAACTCCCTTGATTTTTGGCAAAGATACTACCACATGTTCTCCAGGAGCTCTGCTCTCAGAGTAGGAAAGGCTTCCCACAGTAAACATTCCAAGGCCCAAGGGGGCCATCTGTGCCAGGTGCCTGGCCACAGGCCTGTGGTTCTCCTGGGAGGGGTGTGGGCTGGGCTCAGGGAGTAGTGGTTTTATTAAGCAACAGAAACCCTGCCCTGAGAGGAGCACTCCAACTGCCACCACGATGAAGGGAGCACTGCTTGTGCTGGCCTTTCTGGTGACCTGAGAGCTTACCTTCAAGATGCGTGAGGGTGGGAAGGAGGGTCCAGATGATCCTCGTGATCCTTGCCCATTGCCGTCTCACTGCATCCTTCCAAGTCCTGTCCAAGCTGCTTCTCGGGGCAGATTCAGAGGGCAGCTGGCAGATCAGTGCCCAGGAGTCTTGCACAAACTCCTGAGGCTCCCAGTCTTTGAATGGAGGAGGTGGTGTGGAGCTGGAAGTGTCATTAGTTGTGCACACTGTGGGTGATAATTCCTTGAGGGTAGTGGTACTCATTGGAAGGGAGGAAGCAGGCTGCTATGCCTGGAGGTGCTGGTCAAGGGCAGAGGGGTCTCCAGGCCTCACCCCTCTTGCCATTCCCTCTGCTGAGCATATGTCATAGGGAAGGTTTTGTAATCAGTCCTGGAGAGGGTGGGTCTTTGTGGCAGGTGAGTCTGGAATCTTTGGATATGTGAGTTCTGTCAAGCTGAGGCAAAACAGCAAACTACTGACTTAGTGATTCTTTAGACAAGGTGTTTTCTGTCTCTGCTTTCATTGGAAGCCTGCCCTATTTTTTTATAAAGCCCTTGGTATTGTGAGCCTTGGACTCCCAAGTAGAGCATTGAATGAAATCTTTGATTATTTTGGTGCTGTGCTGTGCTTAGTCAATAGGTTGATGCTAATGAAGCAGAAAAAGCAGCCATTGGAAAAATCCAGGATTGCTTCATTGGAAGAGGACCTACAAACAGGTTAATCATCTGAAATATAAGGTAATTTACTATTTACCCACACTTTTGGAGAGAACTAATATGCAGCATAGTGCAGTATGTCACATGATACTAGAGCATGCAGTCATGAGTTGTGTAATAGAGCTATAAACAAAGAAGCACATAAACCTTTGCTCCAACCTGCAGCATCTGTAATATGCAAGCACAGTCCACCTGCACCTCCAGCCTCTTGTTACCAAATACTTCTGTATCATGTCAATGAGCTTACACAGAATAGGGGACTAGTGTCAATGCAATAGGACAAGTATGTTGACTCATGTGATCCTCTTTCTCACTGAGAGGAACAAGCATTTGAGGAGTAGAATTTTAATCTTTGAGGAAATGAAGTCTTCAGCTCACAAATGTGTAGGACTCCTGTTACCTCTATTTTAGAAATATTGAAAAGGAGCCTCTGCTTTTAAAATCTCCTTCCAGCATGAGACTCCCTGGCTTTATAAGGTTTCTGGCCCTTGGTCACATCACCTCCTCTTTACCCCTTTTAGATGGCTATTGCTCTGACTCAGAGTCCCATTTCCACCAGCATGGTCTCAGTGCCTACAAGTCAGAATTTCCACTGTGGTGTTTTGGTGGCTGAGGCTTCTGTGGAAGCTTCTATGTGCTGCTACTCATTTGAACTAACAGTGTATCTCCTAAAGGACTATCTTTTTTGTTTTTGTTGTTTTTCTTGTTGTATAGTATTGGAGATTTTAAATAGTCTGTCTCACATAGATGTAAAGAACAGACTTTTGGACTCTGTGGGAGAAGGCGAGGGTGGGATGATTTGAGGGAATAGCATTGAAACATGTATATAACCATATGTGAAATAGATTGCCAGTCCAGGTTCGATGCATGAGACAGGGTGCTCAGGACTGGTGCACTGGGATGACACTGAGGGATGGGATGGGGAGGTCAGGTGGGATGGGGGGTCAGAATGGGGAACACATGTACACCAATGGCTGTTTCATGTCAATGTATGGCAAAAACCACAACAATATTGTAAAGTAATTAGCCTCCAATTAAAATAAATTAATTAATTTTAAAAAGTCTGTCTCAGCATATTTTTCTTAAATTGTTGATTATTCAAAATGAGAGGTTTTCCAGGAACCAAAATTGCATAGAGTCATAGAAGCTCACAGGGCACAAGGGGTTGTTTACAACACCTACATGTATATTCTGTGCACCCAGCACACCTGACAGAAGAGGCTAAGGTGCAGAATATGTGACCCAAACCCAGCCTTCAGCATCTTATTCCTCCCTCAGTACCAGCCCTGGCTGTGCCCTGCTGACCCTTGTCATCTCCTCCTTTCCCTGGTGTGGCTGGTGGCTCTTTCTCCCTCCTGACACCTGTGCCTGGGCTATTATGGAACCATCCTCCCCCTGGTGCCTGATGGCAGCCCCTTCTCCAGTGGTGGGTTTGTGGGCAGAGGTTCTTGCTGGGGATGGGGCTGAATCCCTGAGGGTGAGGCATGAGGTGATCCTGGGGAGACAGGATAGCCTGGTTGTGGGCTCAGTTCCTGTCCCTCCTTCTCCTACTTCCTCCCATGCTTCTGTCACCTTTAGTGAGAATTGCTCTGGCTATAAAGTGTCCTCAGTGGTAAATGCTCTTATTGGATTCAATTCTAGTCTGCTGTCTATGGTGACATAATCTTTGCCAGTGATGCCAGACCTGTACTCGAGCTTCCTGCCATGTTCTCCTCATCTGAAGCTGGAATCCAGACATGTGTCCCACCTGATGTGGTCTCTATCAGGCTGACTCTAATAATATCACTGCAGCATTGCTCAGTATGCCCAGCATCTGTGTTCTATGTGGGCAGGATGTGAGGCAGGAGGTCTTGAGTGATGGTGAGAAGTGACACATGTGGTCATTGAGAGCTTGGGGACAGGAGAAGACAGAATGAGGGTAAGCCTAGGCCCTGTCTCTGGCAAGCTGTGACCATTGGCAAGTTTGTTGTAACTTTCTCAAGTCATTCTCAATCTGGTATACGGGGATTGTGTGTGAAGATTAAGCATAAGAATAATGCTTAATAATATAATAATGCTTCAAAAGCCTGGAAAGAGATAAATGTTGTCTCTGGCCACAGAAATTATATCTCCCACTCTGGCCTTTAGCCCAGTGGCAGAGCTTCCAGTCCTTTAAATGTCCCTCTGGTTATTGAAGGGTGACTTCAGAGATGACCTAAGAGTATCATCACAGGTCCCCTCTTTCTCGCAATGGCATTCACCATTATCTACTTTTAGGTGGGTGTCTTCTGAGGAGCCAGAATTTGCCCAGGGACACTTAGTGCCACTGCTGTTCTTGGGCCTGCCTTGGGGACCAGGACCTCCATGAAGTGTTGAATTAGGAGGATGGGAGTGGCTGGAAGAAGCTACCCCAGTGGGAATGTTGTTTCCATGGAAACAGCTCATACTGTGAAGTGTGACTTTCAGGATGTGACACATGGACACATTTCCTCATCCTTCCAGCCTACTTCTAAAAACATGAAATGCATAGCTGCATTACCATAGGAGACTTGTGAGGCTACAAGCGAGGGGCTAGATTTTAGCCCTGTTTCCTAGGGTCTAGTGCAATGTCAGGCTACAGTCCGCATGACCCACATAAAGAGTGGCATAACTGGTAAAATCTCTACCTTCTGACCAGGCAGGCGTAAGTTCATGCATTTTAAACTGAGCTTAGGACTTGGAGCCAAGTGGCTAGGGCCTTGAGTCCTGGCTTTTCTTTGACCTGCTGGCTGAAATTAGTTAAATTCACTGATTTTCTCTTTCTACACCTGGATTTTATATGTACCAAGTTCTGTATGCTCTGCTATATTTAATATTACCTGTTTGTGCATACATGCATGCTCAGTTGCTTCAGTCATGGTCAACTCTTTGAGATATTAAGAATTGTATCCCTCCAGTTTCCTCTGTCTGAGGGATTTTCCTGGGAAGAATACTGGAGTGCGTTGCTGTGTCTGACCCAGGGATTGAACACACGTCTCTTCCATTTTGGGCGGATCCTTTACTGCTGAGCCACCAATGTGACAACTCTGACCCCATCCCCATAAATAAATCTTTGTTCTAATGAAGGCTGACTTAAATTTACCTCCCACACTAAATTCTTGAAGTCAACCAAGAAAATTGAGATAAATAGAAACTATAAGGACAGTTGTTTTCAGCAAGTATTATAACAGAAGTGTAAGTCTCCACAAATAGTCTAGTTTCAGTGGAGGAATAGATAACTGGTCATTGTGACAAAAGAGAAAACCCACAGATAGAATCAAAGACAGTTTAAGATATGATAATAACAGTTCATTGAATCATGAAGAAGGAATAGCCCTTTTAAAAATGATAGTGAGAAAAATGACCAAACGTTAAAACAATCTAGATGGATCTGCTAAACCTTTCCCGGTGTACTTATGTGGATTAATGACTTAATTGCCATCATTCCAATAATTAATTATTCATCACAGCTCCTTTCCCCTCTTCCCATCAGTTTCTTTCAGTTTGACTTTCAGGGCATCACAGTTTCTTGTTTTTCTCCTGCTCTACTGGAAGATCCTTCTCAGGTCTGCATGATCTGAGTCCTGTACTAGGGATCATTTCTCATGTCTTTCCTTTCTTATATGTGTTCAGTTTGTTAGTGGTATCATCCAGCTTCATTTTAACTTTATTCATAACGTTTGTATTTAAATCTGCAACCCCAATACTAAAACACAGAATTGATCCTCACTTAATATTTAATTAATTAATTAATTAATTATTAAGTTTTAAAAATATTAAGTTGTTGTTAAAAAGCCCAAAAATTTTTGTGAAGGAAAAATATACACACAGCTTATATAAATAAATAAACTATTCAAGGAAATTTTCAACCAAATAATAATATTATTTTTTCTTGTGAATAGCAGTTAGTTTGTGACTTCCTTGGTGGTTCAGTGTTTAATGCTGAACTTCCTTTATAGGGTGGACAGATTTAATACCTGGTGGGGAACTAATATCCTGCATGCTGAGTGGCCAAAAACACAAACAGCAGTTAGTTTAATAGAATCCCAGTAAACTAACAGCAGGAATTTTTGAGTGTTTCACATGAGAGTCTGTGTTTGTCTTTATTGTTGTTCAGTTTCCCTGTTGAGTCCAACTCTTTGCAACCCCATGGACTGCAGCACACCAGGCCTCTCTGTCCCTCACCATCTCCAAGAGTTTGCCCAAGTTCATGTTCATTGCATCGGTGATGTCGTCCAGCTATCTCATCCTCTGATGCCCTCTTCTCCTTCTGCCCTTAATCTTTCCTAGTATCAGAGACTTTTCCACTGAATTGTCTGTTTGCATCAGATGACCAAAATACTGGACCTCTAGCTTCAGCATCAGTCCTTCCAGTTAATATGCAGTCCAATGAAGTCCAAGGGACTTTCAGGAGTCTTCTCCAGCACCACAGTTTGAAGGCATCAATTCTTCAGCGTTCTGCCTTCTTTACAGTCCAGCTCTCACAACTGTTAATGACCACTGGATAGTCCATGAACCTTGAATATACGGGCCTTTGTCAGCAGAGTAATGTCTCTGTTTTTAACACACTCTTTAGGTTTTGTCTTTCAGTCAGTTCAGTTCAGTCCCTCAGTCGTGTCCAACTCTTTGCGACCTCATGCCTGCAGAATACCAGGCTTCCCTGTCTATCATCAACTCCTGGAGCTTGCTCAAATTCATGTCCATCGAGTCGGTGATGTCATCCAACCATCTCATCCTCTGTCGTCCCCTTCTCCTGCCTTCAATCTTTCCCAGCATCAGGGTCTTCTCCAGTGAGTCAATTCTTCACATCAGATGACCAAAGTATTGGAGAATCAGCTTCAGCATCAGTCTTTCCAATGAATATTCAGAACTTATTTCCTTTGGGATTGACTGGTTTGATCTCCTTGCAGTCCAAGGGACTCTCAAGAGTCTTCTCCAAAAAAAAACAAAAAAAACAAAAAAAACAAAACAGTTCAAAAGCATCAATACTTCAGTGCTCAGCTTTCTTTATAGTCCAGCTCTCACATCCATACATGACTATTGGAAAAACCATAACTGACTAGATGGGCCTTTGTTGGCAAAGTAATATCTATGCTATTTAGGTTGGTCATAGCTTTTCTTCCAAGGAGCAAGTGTCTTTTAATTTCACAGCTGCAGTCACCATCTGCAGTGATTTTGGAGCCCAAGAAAATAAAGTCTGTCACTGTTTGCATTGTTTCTGCATCTATTTGCCATGGAGTGATTGGACCGGATGCCATAATCTTAGTTTTTTGAATGTTGAGTTTTAAGCCAGCTTTTTCACTCTCCTCTTTCACTGTCATTTATTTATTATTGTTTCTTATTGTCCCCCTTGCCTGGCATGGGTTCAAATCCTAACCCGCTGCAGTGGAAGCATGGAGTCCTAACTACAGGACCACCAGGGCAGACCCCAAGTTTTTCTGAAAGGTATTTTATTCTTAGAAAATCGATCTTACAGTTGTCACGTGATCTAGAAATCCCTTTCCTAGGTTTACACTCAAAAGAAATGAAAATTTATGTTCATATAAAAACCTGCCCACTGATGTTGATAGCAGCTTTATTCAGAAAACTGAAATCTACCTAAGTATCCTTTAAGTAGTGATTGTGAAACAAAGTATGTTACACTTCTACAATTGAATTCTACTCAGCAATGAAAATGAAGGAACCATTGCACATGCAGCAACATGGATGCTTCTCAAATATATTATGATGAATAAAAGAATTAGGGGTTAAAGACTACAATCATACAGTTTATTTGTATGCCATTTATTGCATTATATTTGAAAAAATAAGCAAGAATATCTGTGAGGAAAATGTTACATAATTAGGGGTAGTAAGTCCAAGAGAAGAATCAGCAAGCAAATTGCCAACATCTGTTGGATCATAAAAAAAGCAAGAGAATTCCAGAAAAACAACAACTTCTACTGCATTGACTATGCTAAAGGCCTTGACTATGTGAATCACAACAAAGTGTGGAAAATTATTAAAGAGATGGGAATACCAACCATCTTACCTGCCTCCTGAGAAATCTGTATGCAGGTCAAGAAGCAACAGTTAGAACTGGACAGGGAACAATGGACTGGTTTCAAGTTGGGAAAGGAGTACACCAAGTCTGTATACTGGCAGCCTGCTTACTTAACTTATATGCAGAGTACATCATGTGAAAAGCTGGGCTGGATGAATCACAAGCTGGAATTAAGATTGCTGGGAGAAATATCAGCAACTTCAGATATGCAGATGATACCACTATAATGGCAGAAAGTGAAGAGAAACTTAAAAGCTTCTTGATAAAGTAAAATAAGAGTGAAAAAGTTGGCTTAAAACTCAACATTCATAAACTAAGATTATGGCATCTAGTCCCATCACTTCATGGCAAATAGATGGGAAAAAGTGGAATCAGTGGCAGATTTTATTTTCTTGGGCTCCAAAATCACTGCCAATGGTGACTGCAGCCATGAAATTAAAAGATGCTTGTTCTTTGGAAGAAAAGCTATGACAAACTTAGTGTATTAAAAAGCAGAGACCATCACTTTGCTGATAAGGGTCTGTATAGTCAAAGCTGTGGTTTCTCCAGTAGTCTTGTGCTGATGTGAGAGACGGATCATAAAGAAGGCTGAGTGCTAAAGTACTGATGCTTTCAAATTGTGG